TCATATACAGGTGGCCCTCAGCTTACAACGGTTCAATTTGCACTGATTCAAAATAGCAAACCAAATATATAATGTATGTCAATGGGAAGTGAGGGAGTCAGGTTCCAGGCCTCTCTCAAAACAAGGAACGGTTCTACATAAAAACTGGTGTAAACTGAAACCCAGTAAAAAATGTAAGTAAGTGGAAAGTGAGGAAGTTAGGTTCCAAGCCTCATTGACATAAATTGACATCAGTGACATAATAAAGGTACATTCTGCTTAAAGCTGCTTGTGTGAGCTCAAGCAGCAGCTTATAATGCACCTGTATTTTATTACTTATGTCAATTTTGAGAACGGTCTGGAACATAACTCCCTTGCTTCCCATTGACTTGCATTATTTACTGGGTTCAGTTTACACCAGTTTATATTTACAACCATTCCCTCAGGAACCTAACTCCAATGTAAATTGAGGGCTACTTGTACATCAACTGAATATGGCTGCTTCATGTACACTCGATGTACATTCCTGGCATATGTTTTTCAAAAAGTACCTTTGCAAAGGTGGAAATGGGCTTTAACCCATCTTTTGTTAATTAATGTTACTTGACACATTTCATATTTGGCTAGTGATTGGTAGGTAGAATAGGTCTCCATTGTCTTATAACCCTTAAGAAAAGCATAGTGATCTGTGTACATGAACATCCATGTACTTGGTACCAATGCTGGACCACAGTGATACACCTCCTCGGTCCTGTTTGCAGTATAGATTTTTGTGGCAGCACTACTCTAAACAGTTTATATAATATATCTATGCAGACATTTTTTTATTACTTTTTTCCTTAAAGATTTAGGGGCATCCACAAATGTGTACTGCGTTTAACATGCTAATGTGAAAGGCAACCTAGTCATTTCCATGGGCTGCCTAATACAACAAAATGTACAAAAAAGGTGTAGAATACACCAGAAAGCACAGTGGTGCATTGCAACGCAGGTGTGTTGGGGTGCCATTGAGAACCAATTAGTAACTGTACTGCAACAATGTAAATATGCCCTCAAAGAGAATTTACATTTGTCAGCCCTACCAAGTTCTCTGTCTTTGGCCTACAGAACTCTGCTTCATCAGCTTCTCTGGGGGTCCCTAGGTGACATTAGGGGTCTTGGAGACCCCTGACGTCTCCATAAAGAGCACCTGTCATGTAAATTGGCTATTACATAGGGAGCTTCTTAGCCCCCCATGTGAGTAATAAAAAAATTAAAGAAGCATAACATGTTTTTTAAAAAACACTTTTTTTTTTAGTCCCCCGCAAACATGCGCCGGGTGCGCCTGCGTGCGAAAACGACGATTGTGCCGCACATGGTACATATCACCACGAACGTCGGAGTGAGAGCAACAATTTTAGGGCCATTAATCACTGATAACACTAAACGGATGAGCAGTAAAAGCGTTTAAAGCGTCGCATATGGGCAATTTTCGGTGTTCGTTTTTTTGCGATTTTGTGGGCGCAATTTTAAGGCTCGACATGTTTGGTGTCTATTTACCTGACATGACCCTATCTTTTATATGTTACCAAAAATGTGGGTAAGAATAAATGTTTTTAACTTAACGTAGGGAAAACCTTTTTTTTTTTCCCCAAAATTTACGGTACTTTTCTCATTATATACTAAAAAATAACCCCCCCCAGTGGTGATTATAGCTCTATGTGCTCCAAACAAAATGTTAATATAAATTGCAAGGCTTTAGTCCGGTCATGCTGACCTTTTTGACTGACTGGCGAGACACCCTAAAATTTTTCAAGCCCTGTCCATAACATAAGGAGGAGGTGTTCTGCAGTTTAGCAGATGAGAAATTAGGCAGGCTGATAAAGCTGCTTGGGATTTCAGTGGACAGTAGGAGCTCACTAGATTGCTGGCAAAATCAATAGGTATTTTTCTATATCTGCAGTGTTTTTTTAAAGAGAAAAAACATGCATGCGCAGTCCATATCACCGGAGACGAGAGGAAGAGAGACACAATGGTAGTGAATGGACGCAGCAAGGAGTGTGCACGCCGGATAGGCACCGTGGGAGCCATGAAGAAAGAGTCAGCGCTGGATCAGAGACCGGCACCAGCGCTGGAGGGACTGCTGAAAACTACTGGAAGGAAGAAAATGATCGCATCAAGAGGCATCACTTAAAACGAGTGTTTAATGTCACTTTAAGTGACAGATACACACACACACACACACACATATATATATGTGTATATATATTTGTAGTCAGAGCCCCACTGATACGCAACTGAACACAGTTATGATGAACCTGCCTAACTTGACCTGAGGTGTGCCATGGTCGCTATGGACAGTATGCAAATAAGGGGGCATACTCAGGAGTAAAAATTTCGCCAGAAGGGGTAAGGGTGGGTGGGGTGTCACAAACGTAACGACAGTTAGCCTTAAACATATAAACAAACATATATATATATATAAAGTCATAAATAATTTTGCAACATGAAACATGTTTAAAAAAATTAAGTTGTTTTAAAAATGACCTAAAGCAAGTTATATGTTTATAACTCAAAATGCGTATTTGAGGACTACTGTGCAAAATATTTTTATTTGGGTGGACTTGCATTCACTAACTCGATATTAGTCAAAAAGAATCTTATTAATATGTTAACAGGACCAGTTACTTTATATACTATTATTTCTTCTTCTACCATATTTTGCCTTGCTGTCTGCCAAAAGGATAGCAACATATGGGATGTGCAAATTAGAATCTGTTTTGGTGCCAACAAGCAAATTGCGTAACATCCAACTATCCAACTAAACGCCGTCTATGTTTACAAAACCCTTTACCACTTGAAAAGCGGCATGTTAAACCCCATTCCTGTCCAGGCCATTTTTCAGAATTCAATGTTTAGGTACTCTTATTTTATTGTTTTACTATATAAAACAAAAAGTACTGAATTTTGAATAAAAAAACTTTTCCCTACCGTATATTAGGAAACATTACAAATAAATAATCTTTCTTCATATATCTAGGCCAAAATGTATTGTGCTACATTTATTTGGCCACGTCAGGTGAATGGATAACAAACATGTCAAGCCTTAAAATAGCATGCGTCTGTGAAATCACAAATACCCAAAATACCATACCCAAAATTGCCCATGGACGAAGCTTTAAAAGCTTTTACCGTGCATAAATTTGGTGCTGACAGTGATTGTTGGCCCTAGAGTTATTGCTTGCACTCCGACGTTTGCAGTGATATGTAACATGTAATTGATATTTTCATAGGTGCACCGGACGCATGTTGGCATTTGTATGTACAAGGGGGCAGGGGTTTAATTTTTTTTATACGTGACTTTAATTTTTTTTTTTTACGCTAAACCTTAGTGCCATCACATAGGGGCTAACAATCCCTCTATATGATAGCACAGATACAGTGACAGGTCCTCATTATGGAGCTATCAGGGGTCTATTAGCAGAGATCGTGCTTCAGCTTCTTGTAATACAAATCGCTTCCAGTGATCGGAGGGGAGATCAGCTGCTGAAAGTGTGCTGATCTTCTGATCTCCCCGTACTAGTCCCGGGGGACAGCAGAGCCTTGGATAGCAGGGAGGGGGGTTGAGCACATGCACCATGCAAGGGATCGGGCGGCAATAGCTTTGCCAGCTGTTTAAAATGTTCAAACGTTCCCACTTTATAAATGCCCACCTGTCATCAAGAGTGAGCTGTCCGGGAAGTGGTTAAGGGTCACGTCAAAAAGCAAACAGAACATAGGTATAGGTAAACTTTTTTTTCAAAAAGTGACAATTATTTTCAAAAAAGGAACAGTTATTTTTACCTAAATTACAGTCACATGGCTAAATTTGAGCCTTGTCCCTATGTTAAAGTTTTGAGAATTGAGCCTACTGTGTCCTGCTGACTGGAAGCATGTGTACACAAGCAATCATTCTATTATGCTATAGCCAGAATGCTAAGAGCCTGGTTATTCAGTCGTGAAGAGGATTTTCATAGAACACTAAAAAAATATAGAGAATAAGCACTAGATGGTTGAAGTCTGGTTTAAAAAAACAGAAATGGAAGCTCGTCTGTAACGGTTCTCATTTATCCAGGTCATGGTATAGCTGGCAATTAGTCACATTCAATTGGACTTGTTCTGTATTGATAAAGGATTTCAACACTCATCCAAATGTCTTACTCGGCTTCCTTGGTAACATACCCCAGAAAATATAGGCCAATTATAGCCACCTGGGAAACTGTCACCTTAATCCAATCACCATGATGTCATGAAATCTGTCAAAAGGCAGATTGATTGGCCAGGAAGGAACACGACAAGGTGTAAAGGTTTGTTAAAGTTGACCTCCAAGCACAAAACTTTTCATTTAAATATATTCCTCAATGGGGAGACAGGAAATAGGTTTGCTTTGTGTGCACCAAATACCTTTGGAAAGCCAGATATTACTTTGTAGAAGTAGCACTGATATCATCAATATGCAGCACATAGCTTGTGCGGAAAGCAGAGCTGTGTATGGTGCCCATCCAGGTTTTCCCATTACCGGCTACCTGTCTGCAGAAAACAGGAGGGGGCGGAGAGCAACACTGACTGGTCTTTTATGCAGGAAGTTCCTGCAAAAAGGGAAAATACAGGAGCAGTTTAATGCGGGATTACTGCACAGATCTAAAAGAAATGCCACAAAGATTCAAATAGGATTAAACATGGTGTTTCTATTTAGACAATATTTATTTAGCATGCAGTTTAACTTTAAACCATCCAATGGTGCCATGATGTCTTGGACATGTGTTTTATTGTTTGAGTCACATGGCTGAAAGTGTGGATTGTTGTTAATGGCTGCGGTAAAGGTAAACAAGTGTAACTTTTCATAAACTATAGTGAAAGTCTGCCAATTAGATGGTATTCATTTGTGGCACAAATAAAGTTTGTATTAGAATGTATTTTGCAAATACTAAAGATGTCTATTTTGTATTTAATGTTCAGTTTGCCCCTTTGTGGTGTTTAATACAAATGTATTTTATTCTTAGGAGATCGTGAATTATAATTGTCGAAAACTGGTGGCCACAATGCCACTATTTGCTAATGCGGACCCAAATTTTGTCACTGCCATGCTGAGCAAGCTGAAGTTTGAGGTTTTTCAGCCTGGAGATTATATTATCCGTGAAGGAGCTGTTGGGAAGAAAATGTATTTCATTCAACATGGCGTAGCAGGCGTCCTTACCAGATCCAGTCGAGAAATGAAACTGACTGATGGCTCTTATTTTGGAGGTCAGTATAAAACATTTGGGGGAAAGTTCTCTGTATCAAGTTAAGTAACCAGGTAAGACCAGAATCCCATTGTGTGGTACTATTGTACAGTCTTCGAAATGGAATAACCACTACAGTGTTACTTTTACATGGCAATTCCTAATTGTCATTGAATTTTGAATGGCAGTGGTGGGTGGTAGCATATGGGGGGCAGAGTTCATTAGGGTGACTCAATACAGGCATAGATAGACACCCAGCTCCCAGCACTGACACTCCCAATGCCACTCTTCTCTGATCCTGTTAGATTGCTGAGTACACCAAAAATGGGGCATGAAAAGTCGGCATCTTATTTCCCTTACTTCCTCACTCAGTCACACAACAGGAAGTGAAGGGACAATCTTTGCTTAGGCAGTTTTTACTGGAACAGATGTGTTGCTTTCTGTCCCAATGAAAGTGCTCACCAGGACAAATAGAGGTGGCAAGTGAGGAGAATATCTGCAAAGGATATACAAAAAGCCAATCAACTACACCCCATTGGAGTAAGTTTTTAGTAGCTTGGGGCCATAGTAAGTGGGTTGCATGACTCTAGGGAGTCTATTTATAAAGCAGTTAATGTGACTTTAACCAAGCATCCTCTGGCGGGGAATCAATTACTGTCAAACACATGTTAATTACTGTCAAACACATGGGCCTAGAAGATTCACCTGCAGAGAATGTTTGCCATATTCTCTGCTTTATAAATATGCCCCTAGGAGTCATTCAACCAGAAAGAGAATGGGTCAGCGGTGGAGTAGGACATGGAGGGAAGCACTGGACTGTGAAGAGTGTGAGTAATGAATTCAGGTAAAGGGTACTGTTAATGCTTCAGCATAAAAGGGACTTGATAGGCAATTGTGCTCTGTTAGCCTTGTGGCAATATTTTGGGGAAGGAGATTTTCTGTTAAAGATATGACCTTGTGCACAATGTACATATCCTTAAAGACATGGTTTCATGAGTTTGGTGTAGAGGAACTCCAGTGATCTGCAGAGAGTTCTAACCTCAACTCTATTAAACACCTTTAGGATGAATTGGAAGACCAATTTCAAACCAGGTCTTCTCATCCAACATCAAATGGGCACAAATTCCCACAGACAAACACAGACAAAATCTTTTGAAAATCCTTCCCAGAAGAGTTCTGCAAAATGGGGGGTAACTGCATATTGCTGTCCATAGTTTTGAATGGTGTGTCTATCAATTCATATATGCGTGGTGGTCAAGTGTCTACAGACTTTTGACCATTACCATATAGTATATGTCACCCTTGTGAATGATCCTTGTTCTAATGAACAGGAGCTTTTAGTTCACAATAATATCTTTTATACTCTCTAACCCTGTGTTCCTGTCAAAATCAGTGTTTTGAGAGGTGACCAATATACCCAGTGCAAAGATGACCTAGAATCCCTCTGCCGGTTTTCCAAGGGCAGAGGTAGCACTCACAAGTAAGTTGCACTCACCAACCACTGTGCACAGAGTGTGGAACAGAAAGCCAGTTTACAACTTGCACCATGTAAGCATCCCTTCAGAAGTACACAGGCTGCTATGTCTTTGAACTTTTTTTCATGGGGAAACTGTTCTGTATGCCTGCTGTGATATATCGGCACCTTTCCAGAAGAGGGATCCATGAAGAAGTAAAAAAAAAAACAAGGGATCACCAGCCTCCCCTGAGTGATAGTAACCCCTGATTCAGTATAATTTTTGTTTTTATTGGGTGTTTCATGTGAATGCATGCCTTTACCAGTGACATTATACAATGTGCTTTCAATGTTCCTTTCCATTCCAGAAATATGCCTTTTGACAAAGGGTCGTCGAACGGCCAGTGTACGAGCTGAGACTTATTGTCGCCTGTACTCCCTATCCGTGGAGAATTTTAATGAAGTTCTAGAAGAATATCCAATGATGAGAAGGGCCTTTGAAACCGTTGCCATCGACAGACTAGACAGGATAGGTATTATTACTTAATTTTGTGTCTATTCATGAGCAATGGTTTGCATTTAATGTTAATAGACATTACAGAATATACCATTTTTTTCAGCTTAGTGCATCATTCCCCACCTTTTAATATTTGTTTTTTTATGCATGAGCATGCTGGTCAATAACTTGTTGTATGTTTATATTTATTGGTGGTTTCAGTCAGCAAATAGGCAGCTGTGTCCAGAATTCTCAATTGAACTAGAAATAATGTATAAAAATGAAATAGAAGGAATATACAGCAGCAGGTGCTAGAACGAGTGTCGGTTATGGTGCTGCAACAGCTGTTTTTATGTTGAACAAATTGAGTGGTAGAACCTCAAGAATAATTGACCCTTATTTGTAGAGACAACCCCTTGCTGATAAATACCAGCATCTAATTTTTAACTCCTGAAGGTGTATTGAAGACAAACTTCAAAACTGGAGTTAGAAGACTCCAATTTCCAGGCACTGCCTCCTCTTACAGAATATTCTGTTTGAGTTAAGACGTGTTGCTTGCTAACCGCAGGGTGTAGTGCCTTGCTAGCCGCAGCAGGCATGCATGGAGCATAAACCCACTATCTGCATTCATATATTGGCAGACTACAAAGTTTTAGTGGTCTTTAACTCTGCTCATTTAATAAATGTGTCTGCTGTTTTGGTTCTCAGGCCTGATGACAACACAATCTATAACTCAACCTGGAGCTCAGGTCATCAACTATAAATGATGGGCAGATTAAAATGCACTCTGCAGGATCATCCAACCCAGTACTAGTAGAAATTTCCAATTGTTCTAAGTGAATAGTAAATGAGACAGAACCTATTTACTAATATACCTGTCACAAAGACTATTTTAGCTAGCCATAGCTCAGTACTAATTCCCAAAAGAGTCAAATAACCAACTGTACTTTTTTTAACGGAACTGTATAGCAACTCCCCAGGTAAAATTAAACATTTTAGTTTAGAACAAAAGGTACAAAATATTAGAAGAAAAGCCAACACACCTTCTGCATTTGCCTTTTGACTTTACGGCCTGCGTCTGCTGTTTTATGATGTGCAGTTTGCTAGCCACATGAAATGGAAGTTTAAGGGGTAATGGGTTGACATTAGCTTTAGTCTGAGGCGTATGTTATATTTTTCATAGTGATTTACTAAAGGACAGCTCCGCTTCTAGTGAAATTGTCCTCAAAATACAGTATATCCCCCAAGCCTCCCAGTGTAGTCTGAACATTCAAATAGCTCTTCATCCCTGCTACCAAGTTCTTCACTATGTGGCCCTGCCAGTGCTGCACAGTCACTGCAGGAAAAACTCCCCAGCTGTGTCCTGTGTCTAGTACACATGCCCTGCGGCCCCATTCTTTCCCACAGATGGGCCATACTGTGGGAAGCCATCATGAATACGGTCCAGCCATAAAAATGAATGTATGACCGAATGCGGTCGGGATGTTTTCCTTGCAAAGGCTGTGGGAGGCCCAGCAGTGCCACACAATAAACATGGGAGTGAAATAGGGATAAGTATTTTATTGTGCGGTGTACATTTAAAGGGTGACTATGCTGAATGTGAAGTTGTCCTTTAAAGGAGTGATGTGTATATTATCAAACCTGTTGACTTCAATAACATTACCGGCTTCTGAGAAAATGTCTGTTTTTTTTTCTCATTGAAATGGTTGGATGTTTGCTGATTATGCAGGTTTACTATGCCCATGTAAAGGTGACTTATTATATTAGTACTATTGATGTGGAAGTAGATTAGGCAGAAAAATATTGCTTGGAAGGTTGTTAATAGCTTAAATTTCAAAAAATTATACTTTGTGGTAGAATTATTAACATTACAATGACTATATAATAATATGTTGTTAGATGATGAATTTTTATTTTTCAGTTTAAATATTTGACTGCACAGTGGTTTGTTTTTATTTTCTATTGAAATATACATATTTTCCTCTTCTCTTGTTTTATATATGCCACTAAATAGATGCAAGTTATGCAAGTGATTTAACGGATTAGAAATATTTTTTTAACAGTATCTATTAACAGTATCGTGTGCACACCTATGACCCTCAGGTTTTACAGCGTGTAGTTGTATTACTATGGTTATAAACACTGAATAATATATATCATACTTTTTCCAAATGTCCCCAGACAAGGTGAATTAAGCCAAAATATGGCATCATGCCCTGGGCATACACACAGCAATTTGCAGGCAATTATGACCACTTTCAACCAGCTGGTAAAAATTACCAAAGGCAACCTACCAACGATAATGTTAAATGCGCCATGAAAACTGTTAGTGGTTTTAGTTGCTTTGATCTGTTGTGGGTTTTTTTTTTATCATTTGAAAGCTAGTAGAAATCAGTTCAAATTGACTGAAAATGTGTGACCAGCATTTTGTAGATAATTAAATAATTTGATACAATGGTTCTCAAAATCCAGACTGGTAACATTTTATTCACAAAGCATTACACAAGCAGCAAAACATTTCAAGGAAGTAATATATCAAATTAAAATGTAAATATCAACAATAAACCTTGTGTGTTTCCTGTTTCATTTATCAAGGCTTTTGCTTTGTCCGAACGATAACACATTTGCAGCATAAAGTATGTTTGTACTCAAACAGTTTTAGTCTTGGATAGAATAAGAAAAACATAGAACCCCTATCTGATTTTACTGGTATCCAAGGCTCCGTTTCCATCACTTCCTGTTCAGGGGACAACCGTTTACCAGACAGGAAGTGATACAAATCTGAGACTGTCCTTCCTCTTCTCTACTCTATCCAAAATGTAAAATACATTTTTTTTGGCTACAGACACACTTTAAGACAGTCTCCCTCCTTCAAGAATGTTTTCTGAGGAGCTCAACATGAATGAAAGCCACAGATTTTATCTAAGTTGACCTGGCCTAGCCTGTAAAGTCCCTGAGAAGGTAACAACGGTGCAGTAATAAATGTACCTTGTGCCTGTAAATATGAGTTTTTAGTCTTTAGATTAATCCCTGTGTTTCTGTGGATTCAGGGTGGGAGTTTCATTACTACTTATGGATTCCAGCCCTCAGGTTGGATCTCGTCTCTTTACACAAATAAAAGTACTTGTTTTCCTGATCCTAAAGGTTGAACAATAAGAACGTGCTAACCAAGTACCCATTAGTGGCTCTCCTTATGCTGCTACAATTTTTAGGAACGGGCACAGACCCACAAAACATGTCAATAGCAGCAGAAAATATGCCAACATTTGTAGGTTCATCCACACATCAATTATATTTATACTAAAGCACTCTCCCCAGGCCCGGCGAGAGGAGAGTAGAGGGTTTCTTTAACATCATAGCTGCAATAGACTGCTGTGATAATACACCTGATATGCCGGTGCCCAAGTGGGCTTCCTGCAAGTGCAATACCTATTGCTTTATAATGTTTTATTAAATAATGTTCTGTGCTTTAGGGTCTGCCTTGGTTTGGGTTTTCTTGTTTTCCTGGTCTTAACCATATTCGGAATATTGTGATATTGTGTTAATGAACCTTTTATGAGAAGACTAGTAGGTTTAATTATGGAGAAATTGTGTGGCCAACATAATATACGGGGGCAAGCTGCCTCTTTCCCTAAGCAGCCTATAGACAAGTGCCCATTGAACCTAATAGTGAATTTGACCCTGCTTGGTTGTAGACTGTACAAAAAGTGGAAAATAAGCCCTAATTTCTTCTATTTAGATGGCAAATGCTGGATCTTTTGTTGTCCCCTGTGGCTCTGGCACTTGACACTTGAATGAAAGTGGTTTCTCCAGTCACACAGGGATTTATTAGTAGACGAACATAGGTATTTGCAGGAAACACAAGGAGCACTGTTGTTACTGTCGGCTCTATAGTAGGCTATACCAGCTTCATTTTATTACAGTTCTCCTAAATGGCCAGTGACAGAAGAGTAAATCTACATGTTCAACTGTGTCTCTTTATTGGAGATTCCGGCATATCTGCAATTTGTATTTTGCCGCAGTCTGCCATTTAGTCCCTCAGATCTCAGCTCTGTCCGCTGTTAAACATTCACATTCTATCAGTTTCCATTTTCTTTCAGTTGTCTATTTTTCTAAATACCGTCTTGAGTGCTGTTAGTCTGGTTTCAAATTCAGAAGCTGGTGGTGGTGAGAAATGTTTGTTGCTTCATACCATTCTTATTATCCGTGCGTTCATTTGTCTTAGTGACTGTTCTCTGCATTTGTGATCCTCTGGTTGTCTTAATTCATCAAAGCAGCTTTTGATGCATGATCTCTATGTACAGTATTGTTGTTTATATGGTCAGTTCTCCATTATTACCTTCTTACTATCTTAGCCAATTTCTTCTCTTTGACACAATCACTCTTTTCTATATTTGTGCATCTCGTTGCCTCATTGTCTTTCATTACTGAGTAACATGTGTGTGATTGTGTGCATGTCAGCTGTGTATTGGTAGCAGGGCTACCCCATTTTACCTCAAGATCCAATATACGCTGACTTAGCTGTTACATTTTTTTTTTCAAGAAATGGTCATCATGTTACCATGCGTTCGTTATACCTATGTAGATGTGCCCACTACTAACAATCATAGTTATCACTAACTAATAAAATAAACATTGGTGAATCAGTGGGCTACCATGATACAGTATTTATTAATTTAGTGACCAGCTAATGTGGACTCATTGGTGAATGTAGGTATCAACGATGGGTTCTTATATGATGGCCAGTTTACCAAATTTAACTACCTGAATCTGTGTGATATCAAATATTCTGTGGCTTTAGAGCTCCAAAGGCAATGTGGATCTCGGAGAACTGCATAGATGTGCATTAAGTTCAGTCAACACTTAAAAATAAGCAGCAGACAAACTGAAAGTCTAACAACAGCATGATAAATATTTCACATTTAGATACATCTTAAAGAGGAACTCTAGGATTTACAAAAGTTAACTGTTGCAGCGGGGCTACCCTCGCACAGCAATGGTTAAGATGTATCTAAATGTAAAACTTTCAGACTTTCA